CGTTTCATCCCCAGCAGCAAGAATTTCATGAACCTCTTTCTGTACATGAATCCTATAGCGGATGTGTTTCTACTTCCTACAATTCTCATTATGAAAGAAAGCGTGATCAGTATCACATTTGTCTTTGCCCGAGATGATATCAAGATCAGTTAGTGTCTCCTATTCAATTCAACACTAGCATATCTTGTGAATTTGACCAACTTTTTGGTCATACCAACATTACACTTGAATCCCCATTGAGTTTTGTTCTCAAGTGGTCTTATGACATCATACAAAAACTTTGAACACCATGAAAAGAGCTTCAATGTTTGAGAAATCTTAGCAGAAACCACAAGAAAGAATGAATGTGTTGTTAAATATTTTACATCCAAGCAGAAGCCACATGAGATGATAATGTGTTATCAAATGTTTTACGACCCAGTGATTATGACGTTGAACCAATGTTGTGATCATATGGTTTCCATTTTTGATCCAAGATGAAGTCTGTCTTCTTCAACCCCAAGATTAGAAGTTGAGATATGATAAAGATTTCTTTCCACAGAAGGAGAGCTGAAATTTTAACAACAAGAAACTATTGGAGCCAACTAAGATCAAACAATAGGTTGTTGTTAAACATCTTTACATGATATGGTTTGAGTTGCTTTGTTCGAGATCCAATTAGATGTGGAGACATGAAAGGAATTGGAATAAATCCTCCTTGTGATATGTTTCAAGAGTCAAATCAGAACAGACTCTACTCTCTTAATTAATCCTTGCTGAGTCAGGCATATCTACATCTACACTCTTCAAAGATGGTAGATTCTCTTTTTAAAGATGACAGATTCTCTTTTCAAAGATGAAAACTTTATGGGATTTCTACACAAGTCCAAACAAATAAAGTTGGTTTTATCCAAGACAAAATGGGGCACTAAGGTCATAATTCTGACTACGACAAGAGTTCCACAAATAAAACAATTCTTCTGAGACTTTCATGAAGCAAAGAATACATAAAGATACAAGTTGATCAGATAGTTCTTCAGAAATGCAAGCTTGATAGCATAAGTTGCTACACTGATATCCAGAGGTGACCCTGGCAATAAATGATGAAGTGGAGGAAAACCGAGTTCACCATTTTGAAGTCAAATGAAGATTGCATCAACATTCATGCATCATATTTAGACATTTGCAAAATAGGAGCATTTTCATTCATTTTATCCATGTTGAATATTTGACAGGAATTTCAAAATTTTAGCAAAGATTCAAATCCATCATATGATGGATCAGCTTTTCCAGAAAAGGTTCATAATGAGAAGAACTCATCTGAAGAAGGAAGAAGAAATTCATAATGAGAAGAATTTGTTCAACCTTTTGTTTGAATTCATCACTTGATGGATTATCATTGCCAGAGAAGGTTCATAATGAGAAGAACTCATCTGAAGAAGGAAGAAGAAATTCATAATGAGAAGAATTTGTTCAACCTTTTGTTCAAATCCATCATCTAATGGATTATCATTACCAGAGAAAGTTCATAATGAGAAGAACTCATCTGAAGAAGGAAGAAGAAATTCATAATGAGAAGAATTTGTTCAACCTTTTGTTCAAATCCATCATCTGATGGATTATCATTGCCAGCAGAAAGTTCATAATGAGAAGAACTCATCTGAAGAAGGAAGAAGAAATTCATAATAAGAAGAATTTGTTCAACCTTTTGTTTGAATTCATCACTTGATGGATTATCATTGCCAAAGAAGGTTCATAATGAGAAGAACTCATCTGAAGAAGGAAGAAGAAATTCATAATGAGAAGAATTTGTTCAACCTTTTGTTTGAATTCATCACTTAATGGATTATCATTGCCAGAGAAAGTTCATAATGAGAAGAACTCGTCATCTGAAGAAGGAGGAAGAAGTTCATAATGAGAAGAACTCATCAAGAGCTTATTCAACCTTTTGAATGACTCTATCACAGAAAAAAGGAGGTCATCATCATCCCCAGCAGAAAGTTCATAATGAGAGGAACTCATATGGAGAGAGAGAAGAATTTATTCAATATCTCCATTATGATCCAAGTTAAGTCAAATGAAAAACTTATTATCTTTTCGTCTTTGCTCTAGTCTTGTTAACACAAGAATGAGCAAAGAGGGGCAGCTGAAGATACTCATTTTTTCATTTAAATATTATTATTATTATTATTATTATTATTATAATTATTATTATTATAATTATAATTACTAATTTTATTATTTATTACTAATATTATTATTAATTATTATTACAAACGGGCCAAATCCGGCCCAACCCAAAAGCCCAAATATGTAACCCTAAACCCATTTAGGGTTTGTATCTAAGTCCCAGCCGCCGCTTCCAGAAGGCTCAAGCTGCCTCTCCAGCTTCCAGACGCTGCTGCCGACGCCTCCACTGCCAGATGGTCCAACCAGTCGCTGCCGACGCTGCTTTTGCCACGCCACCTCGCCGCCGTAGATTCCAGAACACCAGATGGCAGCCCAAATCGAGCTCCATGGTGAGTCACCAGCATAGCTATGGTGACTCACCTAGACATCCCTCTCGGGACCGGTCCAAACAGAACCTCGTGGTGGCTATAAAAGCCACCATACCTGCGAAAGAAAAAAAAAAGCAGAGACAGAAACTAGAGACAGAGACAGAAAAAAAAAACAGAGAAAGAAAAAAAAACAAACTATACCAACGATCTCAGTCAACATCAACGCAGCAAGAAAAAAAAAAAGAGGAAAGAAGCTTACCCTGTCAACGGAGAACCACAACCGTCGCCGGATCTCACCAAAACCTTCGAAAAGCCGAAGGTATTATTTTAGATTTGCTCCGATTGGGAGCCGTTTAACGGAAAAAACATCGGAACCGTCATTAGGACGGTCCGATCTACATTTAGGATAAAAAAAAAAATTTTCCGGCCACCGAAGACGGTGGCCGGCGGCGGTGGTTGACGGCGGATGAACGCCGGCTAACGGCTGCCGGCCGGCTGGGCTTCTCTCTGTGTTAGAGAGAAGCGAGAGAAATTTCTCTCTCTCAGAGAAGAGAGAGAGAAGGAAGAAAAGAAATGAAATGGCTGGCCCTTCGGGCCAGCCGGTTTGAACTCTTATAGTCCTTCCCGAACGACGTCGTTTCGGGAAGGACTATGCACGTAATTTTGAAATAGTTAAACCCCGTCCGCAGTCCCTCGTATTTGTAAATTTTACATTTTGGTCACTAAACTGAATTTATAATAATTTTAATTCAGTCTTTGAATTTTAATTTTATTCATTTTAGTCCTTTTTATTAAAATAATATATTTAGGATAAATGACAGATTTAATCCCTTAATTTTAATAAATAAATTTTTTATCCCTAGTTCATATTTTTAATTAATTTTATTATAAAATTTGAATTTTAGATAATTTCATTTTGGTCACTAAATTATTAAATTAGAAAATAAAATATTTAATCCCTATAATTTCAATTAATTAGTAATTAGATTTAGTTTTATTTTTATTATAATTTAGTTATTTATATGTTTTCATTTTACTGCCTAAAATATATTGTTTTAGTGATATTTTTATTTTATTATATTGTTAAAAAAAATTTATATTCATAAATATACATATAATAAATAGTAATTTTTTAAATATTTATTTTTAATATCGAAGAAAAGGACAGTCTTAAAACAACTGGATGTCCTATTCTGATATTTTAAAATTTAAAAGTAAACAATATTATTTAAATTAATATTTATCAATATCAAAGAAAAGAGCTGTCTTAAGGCACCTAGAAGTTCTTTTCAGATATTTTTAAATATATTTTTGAAATAATAAGATTAAAAATTAAATATATTTTTGAATTTTTTAATAATAGAGACAATTTATAATTAAAAAGTACCAATTTTTGGGCGTTGTAGGGGTGCTAATCCTTCCCTAAACGTAACCGACCACGAATCCCTTTTTATTATTAAAAAGAACGAATTTTTGGTTATAAACGCAGATCAGTTTAATTTTTTTTAATTGATGTTTTCTTAAAACTCTTTTAAAAGATTTTTTTTTTAGGTATTCGACCTACCTGACCCAAAAGGCCGATGGCGACTCCCAAATTATTTTCAAAACCATTTATTCACATCACTTTTCCCGCCAAATTTAATATTTCGTGCCCGGACAAAAACCGATTACGACAACACGAGTCACCTTTTTAACTATCCGTAAGTGCATATAATCAATTATGAATACTCTTAATCGTCGTTATATTTATTTTTATGTTAATGTTAATGATATTTATCTTTCATCGCCGATTGTAGTATTTGTTTATATCTTTTATTTTTCTAAGTTATTTTATTAGATTTTTAAAAAAATTTCTTGAATGGTTTTATTTTCTTATATAATGGTTAGCTTGCATTTTTTTATGATTTTAAATTAAATAATTGATTGATGTACATTTAATTTATTTTAAAAAATTATAATTTATTATATTTAATCTTTATTTATGCAATAAAATGAATTGATATTATTTGTTAAAAAACATATGAAAATATATTAGAATAGGGTAAGTAAATGAGTATGATGTTTATTGTCTCGTAATTAGTTAATATAAAATTTAAATTATATAAATCAGTAAGATTTTATTAATTATATTCGAAGTTGGAAAGTCGAGAAGAGGATCCGGATGATTGATGGAAGAAACACCAAACATATCCCAAACCGTTACTATTGAAATTACTGAAAACTCTCTTCTATTAGTACAGCTTTCATTTTTAATTTTTTGACATCCATTGCCATTAATAATTCCCATTTTCGAAATTAACAGCTAATATTTTATACTAATTAACTAAAAAAGGGAAAATGATATAATTAATTACCAAAAATAAAAACAAATCAGAGTACGTCAACACGAAGTACCCCAACTCCGTCCCCACGAGCTGTTTTACTTTTGAATTTTTTTTTTGTCTCTTCCTTTTAAAGGCCTTGTTTTGTGCTTTTTCCTTCTCACTCTGCTTTTTATTTTATTCTTCTCTTCGCATACACAGATTATAGATAAAGTAGTTATATTTTTAGATAGATTAGAGAGAAATGAGAACGAGCGGACGGCTTTGCTACCCTACTGAAGATGTTTGTTTTGATAAGACAGTAGTTAAACGGAGTGATTTCACCGGATGTAATTTGGGTTGCCGTAAACGGCAAAGATTTTCATCGGTGGTTGCCGGAAAGACTGATATGTTTGAAGCTTTACCCGATGATCTTGTCATTTCTATACTCTCTAAGCTCAGCTCTTCCGCTTCTTGCCCGTCCGATTTCATCAACGTTTTGATTTCGTATGTCGTTTTTTTTTTCTTTCACTGGGTTTCATGTTTTTCTGGGGAAAGATTTTGTTTCTCACGAGTTTTTTGTTTTGTTTTTGTTAAACAGATGCAAGAGATTGAATAGATTTGCACTTTTACCATTGGTATTGTCAAAGGCTTCTCCGAAATTGTTCGCCATTAAGCCTGAAAACTGGTCTGAGTCAGCTCACAGGTTCTTAAAGTCTTGCGTCGATGCCGGAAGTGTTGAAGCTTGTTACACACTCGGCATGGTGAGTTAACTCGGGGAAAAGATTTTATTTTCTTTTTCTGGAAGAATTTAAACATTCTCTAAATAGGTAACTGTTTTATGATTTGAAACAGATTTATTTCTACTGTTTGCAAAATCGAGAGAGTGGAGGTTCTCTTATTGCTAAGGCGGCGGTTAGTTCTCACGCGCAGGCGCTTTACTCGTTAGCTGTAATTCAGTTCAACGGAAGCGGCGGCTCTAAGGACGATAAGGACCTCAGAGCTGGCGTTGCTCTGTGCGCTCGAGCTGCTTTTCTCGGCCATATTGACTCCCTGCGTGAGCTCGGTCACTGCCTGCAAGACGGGTACGGCGTCCGACAAAACATCATTGAGGGCCGTCGGTTCCTCGTCCAAGCCAATGCCCGAGAGCTTGCGGCGGGTTTATCTTCAACATCCGTTTCTAACAACGCCGGGAACTCGTGGCTCGTTTGCAGTCCACATCCGATCCTGCACCCTAACAACCTTCATCCGGTCGTATCCGGATGCCCGTTGCTGAGTGATTACGGGTGCAATGTGCCAGCGCCGGAGGCTCATCCAGCGAACAAATTCTTAATGGAGTGGTTCGTTTCTCGGGGAGGGATCCCCGGACCGGATTTAAGGCTATGCTCGCACGTCGGTTGCGGGAGACCGGAGACGAGGAAACACGAGTTCCGCCGGTGTTCTGTTTGTGGTACCGTGAATTATTGTTCACGCGCATGTCAGGCACTTGATTGGAAGCTCCGTCACAAAACCGAGTGCGCGCCGGTCGAACGGTTGCTCGACGGAGAAGGCGTTGGTGGCGACGGTGTGAATGAAGACATCGACGAAAGTTGAAAAACGGTAACATTTCAGTTTTTAAGGAAAGTGAAAAATGTAAAAAAGAAAAAACAAAACAGGGCAGTTTTTTCTTTAGTTTATTTTTCATTTTGGATAATTTTCTTTTTAGTACCTCAAGGTTAAGCTACAGATACAATTGGATCTATCTTTTGATAATTATACAGCACATCATCATAATTAACCCATTTATTTCACAGAATTATTATTATTTTTAGAATATATATTTTTCCTATATATGCCTTTCAGGAGAGGGCATAGATTAATTGCTTAGAATAAATTACCATTGAAAATTCTAATTTCATTAATAATAAAGAAGAAATAAAATAAAATTAGGTAGATGGATGAGATGAATAACCAAACTACCATAAAATTTTGGTTTACCTGTTACTAATTGCCTTAACTTTAGGGTAAAGGGAATGTGATTCCTTGTCAAAACAAGGGTAGAATTCAGTTTTTTTAATTCTTTTAAATATCAAAATAAAATTAGAAGAATTACAATTTTCATTTCCAAGGAGAAATAGGGAAATTCTTGGTGCTTTTTTACCCCAAAAAAGTCATGGGGGGAGAAAATGGTGTGCTGAAAAAGGGGTGGAACATATGAAATGGAAGTAGTGGGAAGGACATGCATTTTTTGCAAGTGGATGATATTGTGGGCAATGGGTATGTTGCCCTATATCATACATAATTTGTAAATTCGATTTCCATTATTTTAAGTTTGTGGTTTAATCACATTATCTTTATATGATAGAGTCGAAATTAAAATTTTAAAAATCTAATCAAGTGAAGATAAATGACTAAATCTAAATCAAGTTAGGATATATGACTAAATTAATTGGACGTAAAATAGGGAATAATGATAGGATTAGACAACTAAAAACCAATGACATGAAGGGAAAGAAAGAACCCAAATTTGGTTTAATTGATTCACCAAACTATTTTCAGTTTTTAAATCTCAACAATTAAATAAATGGGGTGCCGCAGGGAATATATTATTTTTTGTTTTGAAATTTCAATTTATATTGGGTCATTATTATTATTAAAGATTTATGGTGGTGGTTCAAGCCCAATGTTCAAATAATTTAGAGTTGTCTTTAAATAAATATTATTTTATATTTATCCCAAATTAATATTAATAATAATAATAAACTAAGATCCAACGTACCAACATTCCATATTTCTTCCTTGTTTATGACATTGTTGTTCATCATGGATCCATATTTCTTACCCAAAATCTACCTCTAACTAAAAATAATCAAACTTGTTTTCATCCTCAAATAATCAGATGGGGTTTTAGGAGATTAGAATTTGGGTTAAAGTTAAGACAAAACAGCAAACACTTTATGTTGTCACATCTGACCAACCAAAATCAGAATCAAAACCATGACTACGCACCCTTTGATGCATTTCTCAAACCAAATTTCCCCCATTTTCTGGGTTTAAGCTATCTTTTGCTTGTATTTGTGGAATCTTCTCATCTTGCTTCAACTCAATAAAATTTGGGGTTTTCACTTTTCGACATGAATTTCTTTCATTCTTTTATTTCAGCATGCAAAACTTCTGGGGGGAAAATAAGTTTTCGACGATCAAACACGACAATATGGCAAATTAATTTATAAATCTTTCTGCAATTTCATGAATTTTAAGTTCAAATAAGAAACTTTTGATGGCAAGTTAATTTACAAGTTTTTCTGAGTATTCCATAGCTTTATCATCTGTGGTTACAGCTACTTGCTCGTATGATATAACATACTGATACAAATCATTTGTACTTCTGTGTTGGCTGTCTCTCTCCATACTTTACGCATGTCGATAATCATTGGGCCTTAACTAAAAGATAGATGGTTTAATCCAACTTATAAAAGCAATGGAAGCAACTGGGCTGAGTTGTTGAGATTTAGCCCCATTTTGTCTCCTTCAATTACTCTACAACCTACATCATCGGTTTCCCAAGCTGAAGACCCTCGCTCTGCTAATCGCCAGTTGAGATCTTCCCACAACCTTTTCCTTTTCTTGATTAGTTGTTTCCTAATAAATATTTATTGGGTTTGTTTGTTTGTTAAACTTAGGTTTCCACTCTCTTTTTTTTTCCAGGAAGAAAATGGCGTTCATTATGGAATTCGCTGAGAATTTAGTGTTGAGATTAATGGAGGATCCAAAAGAGAGGGATAGGAAATTCAGGGAATACGTTTACTCGATGAAGGATCGATGCGCAAAGACAAAGGAGATGTGGAGTTATCCGCTGCGGCCTTACGGGTTTTGGACATTTGAGCGCCACAATGCTCAGCTCCGCTGGGATCCTCAGATTAGCCAAGTTCCCGGCCGTAGGGATCCCTACGATGACCTTCTTCAAGACACCCATGCCTCCTCCAAACGAAACTGAGGTATAATTATTCTACAATTTCTGGGATTTTATTTGCTGTAAATTGCCTATGGTCATTGGATTTAGAGAAATGTATACCTGTTTCCAGATTTGGGTTTTACTGGTTTGATTAATACATAGAAAGTATTATGAACAATTTGGGGTTTAAATTGTTGGTATGTAGTTTGCTTGATAATATTTCCATTGGTGTAGGAATCAGATGCCATTAGCGGATGGTTCTGGAGCTTGAACTACAAATTGGAAGTTGGACATTTAAATCTTTTTTACTGCTAGTTTGAATTTTTGTTTTCAATTGGATTTGAATGGGTAAATTTGAGAATTGGGGACTGATTTATGTATGAAAATAACTGTCCATGGAACTCGATGTGTAGAGACTTGCAAGTAAAATAAATGCTGTGTTGGTGAATTTATGCTTTGTTATGAATTTTCTCAGTTACTCCTGCGTTTCTTCCCCAGATCCATAGATGCAATGAGTTGATGGTTGTACATTTTGGTTCATCACCTAAATCAGTACTTTTGATTCACTTTGCAAAGCGTTAACAACGCTTTAGGTAATACACAATGGCAGCTCATTGCCACTTACCTACGCTGACCGACAACCCAAATCCTATCAAACGAGATATAGACTCCCTAATCCGACCCAGAACCCGAATCAGATTTATGATCATCAACTTGAGCTTTATCCTTGGCTTCCACTTTCTTAACGGCCTTACCAAACTCATCAACAGGAATCAATGGCAGATACCCAAACACAGGATATCCCTTCCCACTCATCTCCTTCACCAAACCGTTGTATTTCTCCGACAATTCAGCAGCTTTGGGAACAACCCTTTCGGTCACCGAGTTGAAAGTCGAGTTGTGATTCAGTATAACCCACAACTTGGTTGAGTTAACCACCATGAGGTTCTTGTACTCAACTGCAGCGTAGTGCAGAGCTCCTCGTGGCCCATTAGTTCGGGCCTCGTCTACTAGTTCCTGAGCCTTTTGGGTCGCCTTCTGAACCAAGTCGTGAGCATGGCTAACCACTTGCTTGGCTGATGCTGGAACATGCACATCTAACTTGTGTGAAGCTTCATCAACCTACAGTTTTTAGAGAATCGTTTATTGATCAACTATAAGAGATTTTTTCCCAAAATAAAACGATTAAGATTATATATTTTAAAAAAGAATAAGTATCAAATTGAATATTTAATCATACATTATGAATATTTTTACCATTTTACCAACCAGGATTATAAACTAAAAGAAAAGGGGATAATACCTTGTTATCAAGAAAGCCAAGAAGATGATCAGGAACGTCCTTGAATTTCTGGTAAAGTGGACCGACGACAGTGGTAACGGCACTCTCGATGTTGTCAACAGTAGATCTCAGCGGACCTGAGCTTCGTTTGGAGTAGTCGTAGAGATTCGAGACGCAAACCAACGCGTGGATGGCAGCTACCCGGACGAACTTTAAGTGCTTGAGGCCTAGATCCTTGTTCTCAAACTCTACGTCCTAAAATTAAGGCCAGAAAAAAGAGAAGACGTTAGCTTAATTCTCAACGGAGGGAAAAGAAGAAGATCCAATGAAAGAAAGAAAGAGAAAAGAAACAATTAATATACCTCATCCATGGTAGCCATTTGCTTGATCGGAGGATTCTTTGGTTGAGTTCTCTGATATGCTTATAAGAGAAAATGGATCGATCGTTAGTCGTTACAAATATTTCAATTCTCTACGAAGAAATTAAGGAAGTGCAATTTATTTTATAGATGAACTGATATGGGACGGTGATGAGATCCAACGGTTTATATTGGGATGTAAATCAAGTGAGAGTAGCAGAGTTGGATTCTCCCAGTTTCAGCTTTACCTTTCTGGGAGAAAATAGACGCTTCCAGAATTACACGTGGAGGGATCTTACTTGTTGGAATTGGAAAAATATCCAAGGGTACCTATGTCCATATTTTAGGTAATCTGTTGAGGTCCTCCCATAAGGAACTCATGATCGTGAACAAGGGTAAGTAAAACCGGCCTTTTCTACTTAAATATCATTCAATAAAAAATTATTTTCTATACTAACATTTATATACAATTAATTTTTAAATTACCACTTTTTTTATCATATAAGTAAAAGTACATTATGTAGAAAGTGTCTTTTTGTTGATGTAATACAAAGTATTATGCATAAAATATTTTTCGTTAATATGACCGAAGATACGTTCAAATGGATGAAAAAGTAAAATAATAGTAATATACCTTAATGTATTTTCAATGAAACATTACTCCTTCAATCCTAGCAAAAAGAAAGTAAATGAATCTACAAATCTTGTTTCGGAGAGAAGATTGAATTTTTATTAGAGACAGAAAAATTTATCATTGAAATAGTGCAACGTTAGAGAGATTTAGGGTTCTTTTCAACTTAGATTATTTAAAGCTAAAATAGGTTGGCATGACAAATATTTAGTTGATGTAGCATTAGAATTAATTAGACTATGAATTTATTGAATAATTTTGATGGTAAAAGAGAATATTTTTTAAATATTTAGATTTGAGTAGCTACATTTATAAAGTTAAAATATATATACATTATTATAAGTTAAGAAATTTTTTAAACAAATATTAGATATAATATTTGTGTGTATATGTAGGATTTGATTAACTCTTTATATCATAAAAACAAAATATTATTTTTTAAATAAAAGAAGGGTTATATCGTTTTTTAAGAGGATTTGAGCATTTCAAATCACTCGTAACAAGTTAGAACATCTTATAATTATTTAGTTCGAGACATTTAAAGTTTTATGTTGTATAGTTAAAAGTTCTACATTTGACAAGCGACCTGGGAGTAATTCTCTTTAAAAATTTAAATTCAGATAGTTGCATTTGCAGATTATATATATGCTTGTTGCGGAAGACGGCTATCAGATAGAGCAAAATTGCAACTGATAATTTGAGAAAATAAAAATGAAGATAAAGAATACACAAAATTTACGTGGAAAACCCCTAAATAAAATAGGGTAAAAACCACGGGCAACGGTAGAAGAATTTCACTATGAGAAAATAGGAATTACAACTTCTCTCGATCTACCAAGGAGAAAACAATGATAATTCTCTCTTGATAAAAAAGAGAAAACAACTCTCAATAAACTCTCTAAATTCTCTCTAGTATTGGAAGAAAGCTAGAATGCTTTGGGATGGTTTTGAAGCCAAAAGGGATAGGGTATTTATAGCTAAATCTTAAGGACTTAATCTTGTAAATACACTAAAGTTTAATGACTAAAGTTTGTAATTTGACCATATAAAAAATCAACAAAATTGGCTTTTAATAATTTTTTTTTCAAAGCCATCGGCTGCTTAGCAGCCCATGTGGTTTGATTTTTCAACAATCTCCCACTTGAAGATTTGATTGGAACAATCATATCTTCATACCATTATTTCTACCTTGTACCATCATGTTGCTTACGTCTCTGACAGGCCACAAGAGGATCGACACCAGGTAAATTTATCAGCGTTGATTGCCTTTGTCATGAAATCTGCTATATTGTCTTTGGTATGGATTTTCTGTATATCTACTGTCCATTCTTCCATCTTTTCACGAATGAAATGGTACTGAACTCGTATGTGCTTTGTCCTTGAATGAAATGTTGGATTCCTTGCTGGATGCAAGGCGCTTTGACTGTCACAAAACAGAGATACATACTCTTGATTGTGCCCAAGCTCCTCCAATAACATCTTCAACCAAATTGCCTCTTTACTGGCTTGTGTAGCTGCTACATATTCTGCCTCTGTTGTGGATGTAGCCACAACTGACTGCAATTTTGAAACCCAGCTTACAGCTCTACCAGCAACTTTGAACACATATCCTGTAGTAGATCTGCTTTTATCCAAATCCCATGCATAGTCAGAATCTACATACCCATTGATTAGTAAGTTTGATCCTTCGTAACATAATGCAACATTTGAGGTCCCTTTGATGTATCTTAGGATCCTCTTTACTATATTCTTATGCTTTTTGCCTGGATTTGCTATGTACCGACTAACCACTCCCACTGCTTGTGCAATGTCTGGTCTTGTGCATATCATAGCGAACATTAACCACTCCCACTGCTTGTGCAATGTCTGGTCTTGTGCATATGGTACATCAATCCTCTCTTTTTCACTGCTATGACTCATACTGGAGGATAATTTGAAGTTAATAGGAAGAGGGGTAGAAATTGGCTTACAATCTTGCATACTGAATCGTGACAATATCTTCTTCAAGTAATTCTTTTGTGAAAGCCAAATCTTCCTATTACTTATGTCTCGGTGAATTTGCATCCCTAGAATCTTGTTTGCTGATCTCAAGTCCTTCATTTCAAATTCCCTAGCCAGTTGTGCCTTCAATTCTTCAATATGATCTTTGTTGGGTCCTGCAACCAACATGTCATCCACATACAACAGCAATATAACAAAATCGTTATCACCAGACCTCTTGAAATAAGCACAAGGGTCTGCATTAAGTCTGTTGTATCCAAGGCACATAATGAAGGAATCAAATCTCTTATACCAACACCTCGGCGCCTGTTTTAGACCGTACAGAGATTTGTTCAACCTGCAAACCAAATTCTTCTTTTCGTCTTCTTCAAAACCTTCAGGCTGGAGCATATAAATCTCTTTTTCAAGATTTCCATGAAGAAAAGTTGTTTTAACATCTAGTTGTTCCAGATGTAAATTCAATGTAGCACATATTGCCAAGACTACTCGAACTGTTGTTAGTCGAACCACAGGAGAAAAAATTCATTGAAATCAATACATTCTTTCTGAGCATATCCTTTGACCACCAGTCTTGCACGATACATCTCCACTTGATCGTCACCATTTCGTTTGATTTTGAAAACCCATTTGTTACCAATTGGCTTCCTTCATTGTGGTAGTGGCACAAGATCCCATGTATTTTTTTTATGAAGGGCTTCGATTTCTTCTTGCATCGCCATCATCCACAGTGAAGCATCTGAGCTGTTTATTACCTCCTGGTATGTTGATGGCTCACCGTCCTCTGTTAAAAGACAGTATGCAACATTTCCTTCTATAACATAATCTAAGTGCCAAATGGGACGTCTTCTCACACGATCTGATTGACGAGTTGTTGGAGCTTCAGAACTCTCTGGTTTTTGTTCATCATGTGCTGGTTATGCTTCAGAAGAATCTTCTTGTTCAAACTCCTTTTCCTCATGTATCTGTGTAGTCTCTGACTTTTCAGCGCTGTCATCGTCTTCTTTTCTTTGTAGCTTATCTTCTACAAAGATAACATCCCTGCTAATGATAACTTTGCGGGCAGTGGGATCCCACAAGCTGTAACATCCCAGAATTCAGGGTCAGTGACTAAATTGCAAATTTTGAAAACTATGTGCTTGATTTCGAAATAAGTTAAAAGTTCATGGATTTAGTAGTAAAGCTGGAAAATAAAAAGGGTGTTATGGTCTTTTCAAAGAGAAGATTTTTATTTTCCCTTTTTAAGGAAACCACGTGGGAAATGAGAGAATTATCTAGAGTCTTCTTCTCCAGCTTCTTCTTCTCCCCGTAAGCCTCATTTAAAGGTGAGTTTAATTTCAGCTGTTTAATTCTTGGATTTATAAGTTGATTTTGATTCTTGGAGTATTATATAAGCTTAAGGAAAGCTTATATAAGCTTTAAACATCAAGAATAGAGAATTAGAAAGGAAATGATATGAAGGGTGTAGAAATGAAATTTTGTTATAGAAAGGTTTTTGAAGTTCTAAAGATGGATTTGACTTGTCAAGTGTATAATTAAGAAGCTAGAAGCAATAGAATTGAATTTGGAGCATGTTGAAAATTTAGTGTAATCCTTGAATTACATATGGAGAATAGGATTTTGATGTTAAAGAGGTGATTAATGAATAGGAATGAGTTTGAATATGAGTATGTAAGTTAAAAATAAGAAAGTGGATGATATATGAAGTATTAAGTTGAAAAGAGTGGATTTTTGGGCATAAAAGAGGATTCTGGGCAGAGTGCATCGATGCACATTCATAGTGCATCGATGCATCAAGGTTAAAACCCAGAAATTGTTTGAAATGCATCGATGCACTCTTTTAAAATAGAAACATCAAATGCAATTAGTGCATCGATGCATAAGTCATGCATCGATGCATCCCTATATTAATACAACATCGAATGCATTTTATGCACCGATGCATCAGTAGTGCATCGATGCATACCTTCATTAAAAGATGAAATTGGCTTTTCTCTGAGCCTAAGGAGTGATAGTTTCGAATATATCAATCAGTATACTGATAAGTATTAATGTATTATTATGTAGATATAGAATGAAAGCTTGTTCCGGAACAAACTAAGGATTATGATTGATTCAAAACAACGAGGCCCAGGTGAGTGCAATTTAAATTGTACTTATGTTCCAAATAAACATTGCCTTGCGATGAGCCAGTGATGGAGTCACTATGGTAAGAAGGGACTCCTAAAAATGTTATTTGAATTGTGATTCTTATGTTTGCATGAATGCATGAAAATGGGTACATATGTTATATGTATTGCATATGTTACATGAATTGAATGAATATATGTTAGTGTGATAAGCTATGTGAACTGGTTTAAATAGTATATGTGATTATATAAGTTTATAATATAAATATGTGATATAAGACATAAGTAAAGAACTATATGATATTAGATAAGATAAACATATACTATTATAATTGACTATAGGATCGCGAACTATGTAAAAATAGCAAGGACT